AGGTATATAATACAGACAGAGAATTGTATAAAAAGTTCCCTAAACAGGAAATAATCTGCTCAAAATTCATCCAAATCTCTGGTTTTACACAAACTTCCTGCAGTTACTGAGTTCACTGTTTGGGTTCATTGTTCAGTTTGAATATAATACGAAATATCTATAAAATGAGTTGAAGGAAAAAGGTTGGGAACCACTGTTTTAAATCAATGACAGCCGCAAGGAGAACATTTAAACTACACTTCAAATTGTTTTAATTGATAAAAAGATAAAAATTGTGATATTTAAATGAATTTCTCCACCCTGAAAATCTTCTCATCCAACTCTCAGAAAGCGAATACGTGTATTTCTCAAAATGTGAACGTTTCCCTCAACAATCCTGCGAGAGGTCACTCCAGTAGTTGGATTGGTTCGACTGTTGCCGGGCAAAAGATAAAGACAATAAATGAGGGAGGTGATAAGAAAAGTAGAAGAACTTAAAACAAAAAAAGGAGTTAAATATTAAAAGAAAGAGGGAGCTCCACAGGCAGAGGGAGGGAGCTGTAATGTCGGGATGAAATAAACAAAGATGAAAACTGGGAGAGAGCTGTGTCAATGTGAGAGGGATGTGCTAACATTTTTATTACTATTTATCCTGTTGTAGCGTGAAACGTTTCATGTGACAACGTGGTTGTAAGTTTGTATGACGTAATAATGTGAAAACCATCCTGTTATAACAAGTTTCTGTTTCTGGCGTGGCCGCAATATGCTGCCGTACGAAAGAAAAACACCAAACGTTTTTTTTCTCTTGGATACTTTCACCTTATCAGGCTTCTAAAAATCCTAAAAATGGATCAATCAATCGATCTGAAAGGGAAAAAAACGCTCACAGCTCGAGACTACACTGAAGCCTGAATCTGCAGCGAGCGGTCGCATGTTGTCTTCGTTTTAAAGTCCAGGTGAAATTAAAAATGTTATTTTAACCCTTTAAGATCACATCACACAACCTCCGAGACAGACAGACAGTTTGTTGACAGCGGTACCGAAGTGATTTATGTTGTTTCCTGATGGACTTGTTGCTAAAAGATACTGTCGCCAACAGTAATGTTAGATGCTAGTTATCTTTTAATGAATAAAACCACCTCAGTTCTTTATTCCCTGCAGTCAAACTGTCCTCCGTCAACATCAGATGCTGCATTCAGGGACCAGGACATATGTAGACACACAGACGCAGATAATGCTCTGATTTCTGTTTCACCTGGACTTTAAGAGGCCAAAAACTACAGCGACCAGCTGTTTGTTTAATTGAGTATTGAGAGGTATGTACATAGGATTTGTTGACTAAGAAAAATATAGAATAAAGGCAGAATTTATCCTTTATGAGGTGAATAAATGAGAAAAACTTTTTGCCAGTCAATTAAAAATGCCAAACACATCCCACTCAGAGAGACGTTCCTGGCTTCACCTCTTTAAGTTAAAAACAAGGAGCCTTTAAAATTAAACCCGCTGCTTCAGGCGTCGCCACATAACATCAACAAACCCCAAAATAAAAAAAAAAGATATTTTTTCTTCTTTTATTATGAAATAGTGCTACAATGTACATTGCATTTCCTCTCCTGACTCTCCGCTGTCTGTCTGCTGATGTGAGTTCTGATTTGTAATGCTGGAAAACAACCTGGTAAAAGTAAGAGATAAATATTTTCAGTTCCCGCCAAAGCTCAGAGGGGTGTGACACAACGTATGCACGAAATAATTATCCATCCTGACAGGTGATTTTATTCTGTGTTAAAATCTGGTTCTTCTTAAAAGCTTCTCTAGACAAAAAATAGTCAATTCTTAAGACTGAATAGAAACATGAATCACTCGATCAGATGGACAGTTATTTACAGCGCTCGTGTCGGTGTGTGCTGTCTGTTGACATTAAGTCTGTGCTCCACATAACAGACCAACCAAACCAAACTCATGGAGGGAGGGGTGGGGAAATAAAAAAAAGAAAGAAAATGAGGTAAAGAACAAACAAAAATTTAGAAAAGTTAAAATCATAAAGTCTATTCAGTGAAGTGTTTGGGCGAGCAGGAGCCAGGACGTCCTCTCCCGTCCCGAGTCCTCATTGGCCAGATTCACTTTGAGTGTGTGGAGGTGGAAAAACCTAGACGGGTGACGACTGACGAGCCAGGAGGGCCAATGGCAGGCAGGCAGGAGGAGGTAGAGCCAATCAGAAGGCCTGCTGGGCAGGATTGTAGTTGAATGTGGAGGGAACGTGAGGTCGCTCTTCTAGTTTGTCATACTCCAGATGAAACTCCTGAAAACAGACAGATGGAGTCAGATTTACTTCTGTGTGGTTCTAACTTCATATTCTGTGTTTGTTATTATATGTCTGTTAAATATAGCTTTAACTGTAATTACACATGTAGGGTTCCTGCAGGTTTTAATCTGGTTTTATGGAAAAACCCTTTTAAGACCTTTATGAAGGAAAATCTGTATTTGTTCCATGTTGGTTTTATTTTTTAGTCCGAAGAACGATTAATACAGATTTCTCCCCATAAAAGAGACACTGAAAAATGCAACTTTACACTTTTTACTTTTTTGCCCCTGATCCCCATTAAATATTAACTCGGACGATATGATTATATCTCAATTTAAGAGCCCAAAAAGTTAGTTTTGGATCCTGTGCGCAGGAATAAAACAGGTGTGTGTGTGTGTGTTTTACCTTGGCCACCTTCCTCCAGTTGAGGCAGTCGAAGAAGTAGTAGGTCCCTCTCTCGTAGGCGTTGGTCTTCAGCGTGGGCTCCATACCCGGAGCCCGGGTGATCCAAACCCGCTCCTCTTTATGGTACCTCCAGTCCCTGTTAAACCTGAACACACACACACACACACACACACACCAGAGTGACCATCATCATCATTACATCAAGTGCTCTAAATGCTATTGCAGGTACAATTTGTTCTCACCTTTTCAGTTAATTTGTGCATTAGAGGTAAGTGTATATCAGATTATTATGGTAAGTTTTAATCGTCTATAAGAGAAACTGGGAGTTCAGATAAGCTGCAGCTTCCATACAGACTGTGTGTGTCTCTCTCTGTCAGTACATAGTCATAGCCCTGCTGTTTATTCAAAAATCCTGTTAAGCTCTGAATGCAGCACAGTTAACTATCAGCAGGCTCTCGTGTTGTGTTTACTGACACTGCAGAGGAATAAGAAATCTCATTTGTGTACAACGTTGTGTTTCTGCTGCTACACTGAATCCAGTGTTTAACAATCTTCCTTTAATTAATATGCTCCAAGAGGAATAAAGGTGTAAACTGAAGTCGGATCAGACTTAAATTGTCTTAAATGTTCCACATTTTAATCAAATAGTTTGTGCAGTTTAAGTTCACATGTAACTTTGTTGTGTCTGTGTTGTTCTTACAGTTCTACTGCAGCCAGGAGTTGTAATAGGTCTCCTCCGTTCATATAGTAGAGATAAAACAGCAGATCTTCACCATACCGAGACAACTTGATAGCTGCTAACTGGAGACACGAAAGGGTGGAGGGAAATTCAATTCAAGACCAGTTGATTAAAGGCGTTTCTGGAGCCAAATAACAACAAAATGTGTTAAATTAACTAAGACAGGAACTTTTGTGAAGCACATACCTTGTCCCTTATGTGGATGTTGGTTAAATACTCTGAGGGGACGTGGAAGTCTGCAGGAGGAGGCGAACAGAGCAGAAAACAGTGTAAAACTAAAGAGGGGTCGGTAAAGAGAGCGGCTACAGCTGCATCAAATTAAACAAACAAACGACGACTCTCCTTTTCTACGAGACACACAACTCAGACACATTATTGCTTTATAAACTATTATCCAGCAGACACAGAGTCACAACATCATCTGTCTGGAAGTGTCTTTGTGTCCAGTATTTCCTCCATAAACATCCAGAATAAACATAAATAATCTGGAGTTTATACTCACCTATGTCCTGCGGTCGACACGGAGCCGACGCCCAGGGAGACGCAAACTTAGGATAGAGATTCCTGAGGGTGAGACGGAAAAGAGTGAGACACATTTAGAGATAATATTAGCAGACAATAAGTTAGGGCTGCAGCTATCGATTATTTTAGTGATTGAACAGTCTACCAATTATTCCATCAATTAGTAATCAGATAAGAAATACTTTTGCTTTATTAAATCTAAGGCTGGATTTACACTTTGTTATACTTCAATAATATAATTCAATGTGACAGAGTTAGTTAACAAGTCCCACAAAACAAAACAATATAATACATAAATAACCTCACTTTTATTGTGAAGAATTTATGGGAAATAAAATGTGTGTTATTGTGTGTGTGTGTG